GTCCTATAAATGAAAAACAAAAGCCTGGATGACTGTATATCTGTTTACAGCATGATTTAACTGAATATTTTATAACATCTGTTGAGACCTACTGCTAAAAAAAAAGAGATTTCTTCAAAAATATTAATGTTCCTTGACATAACCATTAGTACACTTGGTCATCCAGGAGCTCTGACGGAGAAGTACAATATTAATGTTACTTTCGTGTCTGCTAAAAAAAACACTCATCTGCAGTTCATGGATCAGGGAGTAATATTGAACTTTAAAAAAGTCTTACAACTATAGCCACAGATAGAGGAGTCATTTTTAGTGTTATTTTATTTAAGAAATAAATCTTGCAAAACTACAGTTGCCATAGACATTAATTTTTCTGATGGATCTGGGAAAAGAAAATTGAAAACCTTATGAAAAGAATTAATCATTTTTAGATGACCCTGAGAGCATTCATGATTAATTGGTAGAGGACAATCATCACCCTAATCAGTCAGCAGTCATGAACAAAGCAAGATCTGCCACCAGCAAAAAAGATTATGACTCACTGAAGGCTCTGATGATTAGTAGCATTATTTTTAGCAACAGAGTAGTTTTAAATTATGTACTTGTTAAGTTGAAATGTTACTGCATACTTAATAAACTACATTATATGGTAAATGTAACATTTATTGCACTGAGAAAACAAAAAATCTGTGTGACTCACTTCATTGCAATATTCACTTTACTGCAATGGTCTAGAACCAAACTCACAATACACCTGCAATACGGCTGCATTAATATTCCATATGAACAAAAGGGAAAATATAATAATCCTTTGTCCTATTATAAAATATGCTCACAATGGTATATTTTTAATTTCAGAAAATAACAAAAATACTAAAATTACATTAACCATGAAAACAAATGTCCACATTTTATATATATGTGCATATATATTTCTAAAATTCTATAATACTAGACATATTTTTATTACACAGAAAAAAGATTGTGAAAATGTTTTATCACAAATATGTTATTTTACCAAACTTTTTAATAATTAAATATTATGTAAGATATGTGGCTTCAACTTGGAGAAGAAAACACAGGAACAACATAAAAGCAAATTAAAAAGTCGTGTTGCCATATCAGAAATAATTTCAACATAATATTTTTTGTTGGAAAATTAAAAATTATGACTGTAACAGAAAGCAGAATGAACAAAGCAAAATAAATTTAACAATGGTCCTACTAGAAATGCACCAGTGGTAAAGTAAATGCAAGTTTCTTTGGTCCTAGGTAAATAAATATAAAGGTAAAATGGATTTTAGTGCTTTAGTTTTACCTCTCCCTAAAAGGTCTCCCTCTGTCACTCAGGTTGGAGTGTTGTGGTATGATCATAGCTGTTAGAGCCTCAAACTTCTGGGCTCAAGTGATCTTCTGGCATCAGCACTCTAAGTAGCTAGGAATACAGGTGCATGACACTATGTCTGGCTAATTTTTTTTTTTAAATGTTTCTTTTGTAGAGACGAGGTCTTGGTATTTTGCCTAAGCTGGTATTGAACTCTTGGCTTCAAGCCATTCTCCCACCTTGGTCTCTCAAACTGCTGAGATTACAGCATAAGTTTCCACACCTGGCCTGCCTTTCTGAAAGGATAAAAATAATGTAGAAATAGTATGTAATGTATGATTTATAAAATATACACCATGTTATATAAAAATTATGCTAATAAACTCAAATAGAATATTAAGAAATGAGAGAAAAACATGAAGAAAATAATACTAAATTCTTTGCTAAAAATTATATTTTTGCATATGCTACTTAAGAGTAACTCATTTTTAAAAAGGAGATAATAGAATAAACGGAAAATATACAAGAAGCATTAAAATGTACCCAGTAAAATGAAGAATACAGTAAGAAAGCATTAACAATGAGATAATTAAAACTTAGCTTCATGATAAAAAATTTAAATGGCTTAAATTATTTCAAAAGTAAGTGACACTCAAAATTTGTGTGTGTGATATGAAATAACTGTATGCTATTAAGATGAGGAAAATCTAAAGTAAACACATAAAACGTCTTATTGACATCTACATCTAGATTTTCCAGATTAATATTCCTTTATCCTTTGTAAGATATAGTTTTCCTTTTTCATGCTAAAAACAAAGCTATTGGTAAAATAAGCAGTATACTATCTTTTTGGAAAATAAATCTAAATTTCAGATACTCACCTAATTTGGCATTACTTTTGTGTTAATACAATGAGGTCATTATTATTTTTCATATTAATTATTTATGGCATCACTCTAAAATGCTTTTGAGAATTGTTGAAAAACAAAATGAGCACATCCAACCAAAAGTACAGTACGAAATGTTAAGTTTTTAGTTTGTTCTCTAAAGCGATTTGGGGTAAACTAAACTAAATTCAAATAGTAAGCAGAAAAATCACGTAATTAAAATTCTTTTCCCATATTTATTTCTACTGGGTACAAGTATATAACTATAGTATGAAAGCAATAAAAGAACATATAGCAATAACATCAGCTTGGTATAATAAAATAATGAAGTTCTAGTATCTGATATAAAAAGTTTGAACCTCATAGCAATATCATCAGAGACATTAGGAATCATAACTTAAAATTATATTTGCTTGGGTATCAAATGTTTGAGGTGGCAGAATATGTCAATTTTCTGTAATAACTGTAACCCAAAGTTCTATTACTTACTTGGCAAAACATCTCATCTTTGTATAGATCTCACTGTTACCCAGGCTGGAGTGCAGTGTCAAGAATTTGGCTCACTGGAGACTCAACCCATCTGGGCACAAATAATCTTCTCACCTCAACTCAGCCTTCTCAGTAGCTGGGACTACAGGTATATGCCACCACATCCAATTAACTTTTGTAAAGACGAATTCTATGTTGTCTAGGCTGACAGAATTGCCTTTTAAAAATGATAAATATTTTCATATAGGTGGATTGAAGGAAAATTCATCCCCAGCTAGCTAAAACACTTATTCATATCAATTAAATTATAAGAATAAATTAAACAAATGTGCCTCTCTTAAGAAAGATGAATATATGGACATCTCAGGAAATTGTACTTTTTAGATGGCATAGTATGTACATAAAATTAAAATATTTTTATATAAAATGAAATATAGTAGAGATAAATGAATTGGCTTAAAGAAACAGGAAATACAGGAAAATGTGTTCATGTTCAAGTGTTTACTATTTTTTTATTTGTTAAAGTATATCACATATTTTAATTATTTCAGATGATAAATTAAATTAATTAATCTGAATTGAATATGAAGTAGCTTGAGTGATAAAAAAGACATCCTGAGGAAAAAGATAGTCATATAGACCAGTCAAATGAGTTTCTTTGACACACATGCCCACACACATATATCTCATTTACTTATCACAGAATGTCTGTAAAATATATACTATGCTTGAGTGTTTTAAGAAAATATTTCTCTGAGTTATTAAGTAAACTGCTCCATTTTAAACTAGTAGCTGATGACAAACTGGGATCTGAAACTAATTCTGTCTGATTCAGATATCTGTCTTTCGTTTATTTTATTTTTGCTGATTTTTTTTGTTTGTTTGTTTTCAAAATATTTGATGAAGGTATGTTCAGTTCCATTACTAGAGGGTTTCACTGGGAAGCAGAGATGGGGAGAGAATGTTAGTTTTGAAGCAAACTTAACAGCTGCTAGTAAATGCGTAACAGTAATTTGTAAAGGAATATAAAGGAGAATGCCTATAATCATATCCATGTACAAGTAAGGCCTTCATTCCCAAACTCAGGCCATACTGAAAATAGTAGAGGGGGATGTGCTTTGAGAGAGCATACAAAACAAACACTTATCTTTGTTTTGTATAACAAAACGCAGAGAACATCTCATGAATAACTCAATTTAAAGACAGGTAAAATGAGGGTTTACATGGGTAGCCTGGGAGACACCTAATAATTCCCATAAAAATGAACTATTTCTTATTTTTTTAAAAAAACAGGAAAATAGTTAAAGTTTATTATTTTGATGTATCTCATTTGGAAAGAAAGCAGAGAGGAAAAGATGCACCATTACAAACACTCTCAAAATTTATGTCTTGGCATAATGTAGACAAAAAAGAAAATCCATAGAACTTTGAGTAAATACATTGTTTCAGCACATAAGATAAGACACCATATACTGCTTTGCAACCACATCTTTATTCCCCACTCAGTCTTAGTGTGAGGAATAGAGGAAGAAAGTGCCAGGAAAAGACTGGTGAAATGGAAGATGAAGGTACATGAGATGCTCATACAAGCAAAGTGTTGGTGGCACCACACTGAATTAAGGAAGAGATTGAAAAGCAAGGCTATTTCCCTGGGTGCAATAAAACTGCCTCCTGGGAAGAGAGCAAGCTATGGTGTTAGAAGTTTTGTACAATTTTAGGTGAGAGAGAAAGAGTCCATGTCCTTTAACTAAGTTAAGCACCAATTGAGTTGTTCTGCCTATTCTCTACACACTAAGGCTAGAGAAAAAGTGGACGCATTTCAAAACTCAATCCATAAACTATAGCTTGATGTGAAAAAGTAGAGACAAATTTGCCGATGCTACATAAAAGTGTGAGAGCTGTCCGTCTTAAGCCTGGAAACCTGAAAATCGTGGCAAATATAAAATCATTTTTTAGTAAAAAGACAAGGAAATAAAATAACATAAAAGAACATGCAAAGTATTAGGAATTCATCCTATGAAATACAATGTTTAAGAATGACAGAATGTTCCAAGAATAATTATACAGAAAGATGCAATGAAAACAAAAATTCAAAGAATTTATCAAGGACATACACATAAAATTAAATGAAATGAGAAATCCAGAGCCAAAGAAATGCATATGTGGCCAAAATAACACTGTTTACAAAATAACAGAATTAGAAATAGCAAAGCAAAGTATCTGTAATATATTTTTTTAAACATTTTATAGAGTCAATGTTTGGCAAGATTGCTGGCAAATAAGCACTATTTTACTTTTGTTTGTGGCATTGTAAATTGGTGTTGCTTTTGCACAGGAATGCGATAATATGGAGCAAAATTTAAAGTGTTCACATGAGTTGACTCAACTGTAATCTCCAAATTTAATCTAAAATATACTGGCAAAGCCTGTCAAGTTATGAATGAGAAGACTTACCTTAGCACTATTTGTTTAGCATCAAATTACCAATTTACAACAAATTGGAAACAACCAGGGTATCTCTAGCTAGTAACTGAGAAAAATATGTAACAGATTAAATATTTAGATAAAACTATATCTTTTATGTGTATTGGTGCTATATGAAAAATAGTCACATTTCTGAAAAAATGAATACAGACGTCATAAATATGAATAGCTCTTCTATTGAAAAAGATAAATCTAACAATGTGGCATAATCACTAGCCAGATTAACTACTTTATTTCCATAATTAAATGTATCTATGTGCCATTAAGTATCTCCACAAGGGAGTAGTGGACACTGCTCTGGTAAACTCATTAAATTGAGAAATCAAATTCAAATAAACTGAGAACAAAGTGCTCCCAAAACAGGTAGTGACTTAAGACACCTGTTCAAACCTTTATTTCCTCTATCTCACCAATCTGCTAATTCTCTGCTTTCTGAAGAAGGAAGTGAGGGGACAAAGATAATAAAAAGATATCCTCTTGTTAACTTTTCTGGCTGAAGGAATGAGTGGAAGTTTTTATTCCTTGAGCCATGGCCAGAAACAACTGAGAAACAAAATATTTTCTATAATGATGTGAATAAAGCAAAGTATGGCGCAAATTTACCTTACAAGCATCTTTAAGCAAATTAAATGCATTTTTTTGTTATTTTATACCTCACTTCCTAAATGAGATTTAAGCTGCATGTAGGAAGATGAAAAAGAAGATCTTGACTTAAAGAAAACTGATAATGTCATCCATACAGGTAATTTTTCATTTATGGGCTGAACTTATCCATAAAAACATTGTAAAAAAGAAAGTTTATCTTTCACTTTCTTCACCTTCTTGTGCCCTTTTCTATGTTTCCCTTTTGCTTCCGGATCCCACTATTATTTTCCTAACGACGTTCTTCGGGGTATAGGTGTCCATACATTTCCTGGATCCTCATCTCTTACCACAGAATGTGGAGTTAGTACCTGAAATCATTACATATCCTAAAAAAACTGGTAGATCCATATTAAACAGGGTTCCATAGAAACATGTGGATTTGAATTGTCTTTCTCTAGTGTTCTAGATATAATTTATTGAACAAGTTACTTTAGATCCATTAGCTCCATTTTTTCCCATAGTTAAAATGCAAATATCTAAAATTACTAAAGTTTTTCTTAAGAAATTCCTAAATGAGTGGATATTTAATTACACTATAATTATTAAGAAAGAGCAGAAAATATCATGATGGTTTTCCAGTGGTGGCTATAAAGATTTAGAAATAGTCTACTAAAAGGCTTATTTTTAGGTGAATTTTTCTTCTTAGAATCCTGCAACTATTACTCTGGGATATGAGAACATACACAAATATTTTGTAAATTCAAGATACATAGCGCACATAGATATCGATGAAAATATATGTATATCACAGTGGTATGATGACAGGCCTGACCACATCATAATCAGGAGACCACAAGGTGAACTGGAGACATCCTCAGTTACAATGTGCATTTCTAAAATGTGCGAATATTCGTATAATCACTTGGTTTATTTGCTTAAAAAACAACCATTAACATATGAAAGAATTTGGTGAAAAATTCCTTGTCCACGTGAATTAATTACTCGTGACCATTTAAGAGAGAACCTATATGAGAGCTACCAAAACTGTCAGGCTCAATCAATTAGTTGGAATAAGGATGCTACATAAAAAGATTAATTCAGTTACAAACAAATGGTCCTAATACCAGTTTATATGGAATTTTCTTTCTACAGACACAGCCTAGTGTTCCAAATGATAATGCACTATACTACACCAGAAAAAAAAAAAAAAAAAAAAAAAAACATAATGAATGCATAAAATACTAGCAAAAATTTTTTTTAAAATATGTAGTTACAGTTTATGACAGACTATCAGTGAGAGAATTGTAAGTTTGGAAAAAAAAATCTAATTCTTCTCCACTTGATCTCTTCTTTTTTTATTAAAATATTTCAAACATCTGGAAATTTAACATTTAGGAAAACTGTGGTTAAATTTACCTGGTAGAGCATATTGACCTGTAACTATCAAAATTATTTGTCATGAACTATGTCTGAGACCAAGCAATACTGTTCTTACATCTAACTACTTTATAATCCTTTCACTTTCTTTCCCCTAAAATGTGCTGATAAAGCTAGCATTATGTAAATGTTACTAGTTACTATCATCAAAGAGATGCTCCTACACCAGCAGCATCTTCCCCTTCCATTCGATCAACACACACACACACACACACGCACATATTTATTTTTAGAAATGAACATTCATTTTAGAAATAAGCCTAATTGTGTGTGTGTGTATGTGTGTGTGTACACAAAACACACAGCTTTAAATTTTACAGAATGACAGATTACTAATTTGTCATAGAGCCTGCTATCTGAGGGAAAGAATATCTATTGGATTCTTTCTATAGCCAACTAAAAAAAGAAAAAGCCACTCCTTCCAATGTTTGTCATTTAAGTCCCAAATGTGCTGTAGCCTTTAACTGTGTAAGACAGCAAGACAGCACATTTTGTAGATTAAACCAATAAACTCACAAACATAAAAGAAACAAATCTCATAATTGCGGATTTCAATTAAAGGAAGGGGGATCAAAGCAAACATTCTGCTTGAAATTACACAGCTGCTATCTATACAAAATGAGAAAAACGTCTACAGCCAGCCATAATTTTACAGAGGGAAAAATCCAGGCAGCAAACCCTGCAGCAGGACAGATTGTCTATGCTCCTCACGTCCCAATCAGTAATACAGAAATATTGAGTAATAAATTCCCTGCTTCTCTCAATCTGAAAAGCTCCCACCATCTGTGAAAGACAATTTGTAACAGCCTCAATATTAAGATTCAGTAAACAATCACTCCCCTTGTGCCAAGCCGTGGCTATATTTGGAGAAAAGCATAAAGCAAAACAATTAGTAACACCAAGACCCCTCTATTACAAATTATCTAGCCACCAAAACAACTAGTTTCAATTGAAGTTTCCCTTCAACTGGAGAGGAATGCAAGAGATCCTGCATATTTGGCTACCTCTGTGGCCCATGCGTAGGCCTCATCCTAATGTGTTGAATTATTATTGATGGCTGAGGCAGTTCTGCTCTGTTGGTGAACCAATAATGTCAAGGCAGTACCTGCAAGATTAATTATAGGAGAGAATAGGCTGAGGTTTCTCGAGACTGAGACATTAATACAGACTGAGCATTAGTTTCAGGGGATTCAACAGACAGCTGAACTAACGCCTCAAACAACGTGATTTGCACTAAATCCCGGTAGCTGTGTCTTAGCAGCATGTGGAAGCTTAGAACAATTGTTTTTAACTATGAGGTACAGCACATTATGCATAATAAAAAAAAAAAACCCTGAAAATGCAAAATCAACAATTCTTCCCGAGTTACAAATTCAACCTGAGCTTTACAGAGAGCATAGCTGATACTGTTTCACCACAAAGAAAAGGTGGCCCCACCTTCCTAATGCGTTTGTCCTTGGAACATGTAAAATATGTTCTTATTTACAGTATTTTCTAGGGTTTTGAGTAGGGTGACAAATCTTCCTGGTTTTCCTGGAATAATCTCAATTCACACCTGGTCTCCTGGAGTGATTATTAAAAGCACACACATTTTATACTTAAACTGTCGTGGTTTGGATGATAAGTTATATAGTCACTGTGGTTATAAGGCATACGGAGCCTGAAGCAGCTTCTCACTGTGGCTATAGCCATCTTTTATGTAAATATTTTATTTGCTTATGATATACAGATATTCATACACTTTCTTAGAAATAAAAATTTTAAAGAAGCTGAAACGTGAAGTTAAATAGAAGGATATGTTTTAATCTGAGTGAAATTTAACTCAGGGCTTCTACTTCATTTCCCAAATTCAAAGTTGTATAATATACAATTATATATGTGTGCATATATACATAAGCATATATACAAACATTTATAAATATAGGTATATACACATATCATATCAGGTGACATTTATTAATTCTTAATTCTTAATCTGTGCCAGATACTTATCAAAGGATTTTGCATATTCTAATTATTGTTTTATAGATAGGCAGATGTGTGTGTATATATACATATATATGAAATCTGTATACATGTGTATATATGTACATATATATGTAGATTCCATAATCAATATATGTATGTGTGTATGTGTTTACAAATACATGTAAAATAAATATGGAATCTCTATACTCTCTCTCTATATATTCTCTCTATATATTTATTACAAATGTATTTTATTAATATTTGCAACTTAGAAAAGTGAAGCATGGATGAATTATCATGTTCATGGTTACAGAGTGAGCAAATAGTAATGTTTAGATTCAAATTCAAAAACTCTGTCCTTTGCGTCCAGTCTCTAACTAGTTAGCAAGATGTCTTATAATTCATATGTGTGTTCATTTAATACATGCATTGTGGAGGTTTCTTTGTCATTCTTACTACTCTAGATCATCTGAAGTATACCAGCGATAACAAGCCATGGTAGCAAAACTAGTCAGGCTGGAGGCTTACAACCATGTACTGCTGAATTTGTTACTGTAACTAGGAGGCTATTTTGTATTCTAATATGGAATAATTATCCAAAAATAATTTGTTACTTTGCAAATCATATTATTATCAACTATGTCTCTATTCTCCTCATAGCAGCAATCAAAAAGAAAGCAAAAAAAAAAATAATCCAGGAGAGATTTGATCTATTGTCTTAAAATGTCCTGACTGTGAAGCATATGATAGTTAGAAATAAGTTATCAGGCATCTCTACATGAGTAAAGACAAATGTCTTTGTCAGTTTTAAACAGACAGGGAGGAACACTCTGCTTGCAACCTAAATTCCAAGTAACTGGAAGGACTGTACTTATATACATGTATATATCACCTATCACCTGCATTCCCGTTTAGTGTTTCAATAGAAAATGTATAATTAAAAGGTCTTGTAATCTGAATATACCATGTAAAATAACAGGCATGTTAAGAGACTATCTAGTTTTATTGATGTTATTATTTCACATGAGGAAATAACGGTTAGGCATGTTAAGAAACTGTCTAGTTTTATCCATGTTATGATTTCACATGAGAAAAACACAAGAATAGAGACAACACATTTTGCTAACCAGAGAAGATGAGGAGCAAGGGTCAACCTGTCCATGAGATTCTTCCCACAGTGCCTTAACTTTAAAGTTTAATGACTGCCCATTTGAATTTCGGACTTGCATGTGGCCTATAGCACCTATGTTTTGGTCAATTTCTTCCATTTGGGTATTTACCCAATGCCTGTACCCACATTGTATCTGGTAAGTAACTAACTTGCTTCTGATTTTACAGGCTCATAAGTGGAAGGACTTGGCTTATCTTACATAGGACTTTTTACTGTGGACTTTTGAGTTAATACAGAAATGAGTTTAAGACTTTGGGGGACTGTTGGGAAGGCATGATTGGTTTTGAAATGTGAGGACATGAGATTTGGGAGGGGCTAGGTGTGGATAATGTGGTTTGGCTGTGTCCCCACCCAAAAATCTCATCTTGAATTATAGCTTTTAAAATTGCCACATGTCGTGGGAGGACCCTGGTGGGAGGGAACTGAATCATGGGGGCGGGTCTTACCCATGCTGTTCTCATGATAGTGAGTTAGTTCTCATGAGATATGATGGTTTTATAAGGGGATTTTCCTTCTTTTGTACTGCACTTATCTTTGGCCTGTTGCCACATAAGAGATGACTCTGCTCCTCATTTGCGTTCTGTCATAGTTCTGAGACATGTGGAACTGTTAGTCCATTAAGCATCCTTTTCTTTATAAATTACCCAGTCTTAGGTATGTCTTTATTAGAAGCATGAAAACAGACTAACATGCAGTTTCTTTATAAGATTTGTCTCATATTTGCCTATTTTTGATAAGAAATTAAGTTTTGTATATATTTAATTTGTTCCAACTTCAACTCTTCTGGGAACCTTTATAATGTTTTTACCTCAAAGATGCTCACGTTTAATGCTGAGAATGTGGCAAGAGAGACTTGCAGATGCAGATGTGATCAAATTAAACATCTTGAGATGAAGAGATTATGCTATATTACTCAATGGAACCAATGTAATCACAAGGATCCTTATAAGAGGGAGGCAGGAGAGCTAACCTCAGAAAGAGACAAATTTGAAGATGTTACACTGTTGCACTGTTGACTTTGAACATGGGACAAAGGACCATGAGCAAACAAATGAAGGTGCTATCAAGAAGCTTGAAACACAAGGAGAGATTGTCCTCCAGACCCTTCAAAAGGAATGCAATCCACAAATGCCTTGATTTTAGCCAAGTCGGACTCATACTGGAGTTCTGTTCTCTGAAAACTGTGCTATTTTAATCTACTACATTTTGGGTAACTGTAATAGCAGTAATAGGACACTAATACAACTCCTTACCACAGTTAATACTACTGCAACTCCCTACCACAATAAATAAAAACAATCTCTTCTGAGTCTCTTTAAGTAAAAATATTCAATTCCTCAAAATCCTGCTTAATCTCTCTTTTGTTCTCAAAACATAGGCAGTGACTTAAGAGTGTTTTTATATCACAGAGTTAAAGGGGACCCCAAAATTATGCAGAGACAGTCGGTTCCTATGTCTCTAGTCAACTTTGTTCTTTTCGGATTATGCTGCAAGTATTGATTTATTGGTCAATCTTTTACCGTTAAGTATAATGTTAACTGTAGGGTTTTTTGTATATTAACTTTGCCAAGTTGAAGAAAGACTCCTCTCTATTACTGTTTTCCTGAGAGTTTTTATAATAAATGGGAGTTGACATTTTCACATTTTTTTTCTGTATAGATTGTTATGATCAAATAATTTTTGTTTTCTAGGCTAAAATAATGTGTATGGCATTAATTAATTTGTATACTCATTGTAAAGTGATCCATGGCTATATTTTCATAGGTTGCTGAAGGAGAATCTGTGTGTAATTTTCTCCATTATACAGATTGTATAATTTCTACCTACAGTCTACAATTCATTTTTTTTCTCCCCTCTATTCTATATTGAACCCATCCACTGACCTTTATATTTTGGTAATTGAATGTTTTAATTCCAAAACTCCATTTGGCTCCTCTTGTTATGTTCTATTTCTCTGCTATAAGTTTTCATCTCTTTGTTGACATGTTCTTTTATTTTTTATTTATTTATTTATTTATTTATTTTTTGAGATGGAGTTTCGCTCTTGTTACCCAGGCTGGAGTGCAGTGGCGCGATCTCGATCCCGGCTCACCGCAACCTCAGCCTCCTGGGTTCAGGCAATTCTCCTGCCTCAGTCTCCTGAGTAGCTGGGATTACAGGCACGTGCCACCATGCCCAGCTAATGTTTTGTATTTTTAGTAGAGACGGGGTTTCACCATGTTGACCAGGATGGTCTTGATCTCTTGACCTCGTGATCCACCTGCCTCGGTCTCCCAAAGTGCTGGGATTACAGGCTTGAGCCACCGCATCCAGCCTGTTCTTTTATTTTTTAAGGGTATTTGTAACTGAGTACTAAAGTTTAATGATTATAATTCCTTCAAAATATTTTTAGATTATATGAACATCTCTGTCATGTCATTGCTCATCTTTTTAATCAATTTTGATATTTTCCTACTTCTTGGTATGATAAGTAATTATTGAAGACTTGTCATTTTTGTGTTATTTTGTGGGACACTATTTTTTTTTTAACTTTATGTTTTAGCTGGCTTTCAGTGGCCCTGCTCCAGCTGAGGAAGAAAAGCAGCTGAATGTAAAGACAAGTCTAGGTTCCTTACTCATCCTCCATTGAAACCTACGGGGAGTGGTCTTTTGGTACCACTAGGTCAGTGCTGACCTGTTGGTGCCTCATATTGAGGGAATGTGCTCCCTTTCCAGGCTCCACAAGGGGGCGTAGTTTTAAGAGCAAGAACTTCCCAGGGCCATGCCCCCCTCCCATCTCTACATCCGGGAGATTTAAAGGTTTCTGTTTGAATTTTGTGAGTTCGGGAAGAAACTAAGAGTCAGTCACTCCAGGGGAAGTTCTAAGGCACTCCTTTCATTGGCCCGGGGTCTTGGAGAAGGTGAGGGTTCCTCCCAGGTTCCGCGCCCCTTCGGACTCCGTGTTTGGGTCCCCTTCCAGGAACACT